CCGAGCCAAGCCAAGCCAAGCCAAGCCCACGCAATGCCCTGTGCCCTGCCTAGCCACACACTGCTCCAGCCAGTCATCCCGGGGCTGGTCACCACCTCACTGGGATGGTGCTGGGACTCCCCAGCCTCTCTCATAGCATCAGCACTGCACAAGCTCCTCAGCACATCCCCTACAGCCCCTGCTCTGGTGCACGTGGGGCCACGATGAGCCATGGGGCTGCTGTGGGGAGACCCAGCAAAGGGCAGAGGGCTGTAACAGAGGGTGTGGGGGCCCTGACACTCAGCACACAGCTCAGGATGGGCCACACACGTGTTGAGACAACTGTCTCCTTGCACTGCCAACATGCCAGCACGGCCCAGGGAAGTGTCCTTCATGGTACACCCACCACCAGGGACCTCCCTGTCCCCTGCAGGAGGCACACTGCACTCCTGTCACACACTCCAGCATAGCACTGACCATGGCACGGCACCCTGGAGGCACAGATCCTTCTCCCATGCCACTGGGACCACCACGGCCACTGCCCTCATGTCCCCTCCATGACACTGCTCCACACTGTGGCACCACTCTGGCACAGCCATGGCACAGCTCCAACCTGGCCCCATCACCTCCATACCTTCTCCCGCTGCACCAGCTTCTTGTAGACGGAGTCCGGGAAGGAGCGGAGGGGGCAGAACTTGCCGGTGCCCTCGGCACACATGAAGACACCGTTCTCGTAGACCACTCGCCCACGGCTGATGGTGACCAGGGGCACTCCGTGGCACCGCATGTTCTCGTACAGGTTGATGTCCCCCCCCTGCACCTGGGTGCTGGCCGAGATGGTCCTGAGCAGGGGGACGGGGTAGTGAGTAAGTGCTGGTGTCACAGGGAGCCCCTCCCCAGCCTCCCCCCGCAGGCTGCACCTACTTGGTGGCCTCAGGGTCCCAGACCACAACGTCGGCATCAGCACCGGGGATGATCCTGCCCTTGCGGGGATACAGGTTGTGGATCTTGGCGGCGTTGGAGCTGGTCACAGCCACAAAGCGGTTCTCATCCATCTTCCCCCCCACCTGCCACCAGACTGCAGGTGAGGAAGTGCTGGCCTGCATCCTGCCCCAGCCCCCCCAAACCCCACAGACACTCTGGGAGTGCCACTGGGGCCAGGACCCTTGCTGGGACCCACTGGGGTGCACCAGAGAGCACCTTGTCCACCCCTTTTTTTCCTTGTCCACCCCCATGCCCAGGGACAGACACCCTACAGGGTGTCCCACCCCACCAGAGCCCCTGTGAGCCCCCAGGGTGCAGCCTGGGGCCGGCAATGTCATACCACGCCGCGCTCCCAGATGATGTTCATGCGGTCCTGCACCCCACTGACACCGTGGGGGATCTTGGTGAAGTCCTCCTTGCCCATGGCCTTCTGCTTGGTGCTGAAGGGCCGGTGGTCCGAGGCCACGATGTTCAGCGTGTCGCTGCAGGGGGACAGGGCAGGGTGAGGGATGGCATCACTGGGACCACTTGGGATGCCTGGGGAGCCCAGTGCCTGGGCAGTTTGGCACTCAGGGAATGGGGTATCTACACCATGGGGTGTCTAGAGAATGGGACACCCTTTCCAGAGAGGTCTCAGAACGTGGGGAATAGGGTGCCCAGGAAGGGCAGCGCCTGGGCAGTGAGGTGCTTGGGGAGTAGGCACTTGTGCAGTGGGGTGCCAAGGGAGGAGGGTGTTCAAGGAGCTCAGCACCCAGGGAGGAGGGTGTCTGGGGAGTGGGGCACCCACACTGGAGTTTCTGAGCAGTGGGGTGCCCAGGTAATGGGGCACCCCATGACTGGAGTGCCTGGGGAGCTCAGCACCCAGGGAGTGGAGTGACCAGGGACTGGAACTCTCATTCAGTGGGGTGCCTACAGAGTGGGTCACCTGGGGAACTCAGTGCCTGGAGAGTTCAGCACCTGGGGAGTGGGACATCCACACAGTGGGATACCCAGGGAGCAGAGGTCCTAGGGAATAGGGCACCCATGCAGTGGGATGCCTGGGGAGAGCATACCAATGCAGTGGCGTGCCCAGGAAGCTCAGTGCCTGCAGAGCAGGGTGCCTGTGGAATGAAGCACCCATGCAGTGGGGTGTCCAGAATGCTCAGAACTCACAGAGTCGAGTGCCCAGGGAATGGGGCACCCATGCAGTGATGTTCCTAATAAGTGAGGCACCCACACCTCAAGTGCTCAGTGAAAGCTTGGGAAATGCAGCACCCACAGAGCACATCCCCAAGGAAGCACAGTGTCTAGAAGTGAGGCACAGAGAGCTTGGTGCTGGGGATGTGGGGTGCCCACAGTGTCGGGTGCCTGGAGGGCACAGCTCCTGGTAGCAGGGGTGATGGCACAGCTGGACACTTGGGCATGCCAGACACCAGGATGCCTGGAGAGCAGTGGCAAACCCCGGGGTTCCCTGTAGGGCAGGGAGGGAGTGCCTGGGGGTCTCACTTGGCGAGCAGGCTCATGAGGTAGGCGGAGGTGTTGGTGTCGAGGCGCAGCGGCGGCACGGTGACGTAAGCGGCGGCGTGGAACCAGTCCTGGTGGTAGTAGTGCAGCCCAGTGAGCGTGGCGTGCGCCGTGGTCGTCTCCGCGTACACCACCTTCCCTGCCAGGGCGGAAGCACATTGGTGTGCAACGGGACAGGTGTGTAGGGGCATGTGAGCAAGGGGCACACGTGTGTGCTGCCCATGTCAGGATCCCTGTGCACCCCGATGGGCATGAGCCCTGTGTGTGCTCACGTGTCCCATGTGTGCAAGCAGAGCTGTGGGCCCAGGTGTGCACAGCTGTGCAAGGGCATGTCCCCACAGGTACACACATGTTCCCGTGCCTGTGTGTCTGTTTCTACCTGTGTCTCGGGTGCCCACACATGCATGTCCACAGCCCCGTGCCATGCGTGTCCACACCTCCACAACCAATGTCCAAATCTCTCCAAGCCCCCACCTCGGCAGTGCCCACACGTCCTGTGTCTGAGGGTGTTTATGTGCCTGCACACATGACCCCTGCCCACGTGTTGTGTCAGGGGGTGCCCATCCGTGTCCCCTTACCTTGCATCTTGGCAGCAGCAATGACATCCCCCGCAGACATGCTGGACACGTTCACCAGGTACACAGGGCAGTGGGTCTGTGGAAAGAGGGTCAATAATGCTGTCCCTGTGGTGCCCTGGCTCTGTGGGGGTTCCCTGCACCCCTACCAGGGCCTGGGGACTCCCCATGGAACTGGGTGCCCACCCCCAGCAAGGTGATGCTCAGGACCACTCACCCGGTTGGCAATGGTGATGACACGGTGCGTGGCCTCAGCTTCCAGCTGTGGAGAGAGCCAGCAGTGAGACACGTGGCGCAGCACGGTGGCAGCAGTGGGCAGGTGGGTGACACAAGGATGGGGGGTGGCAGCTCTGGGTGCCTCAGAGCATCCCAGCCATGTCCTGTGCCACCACCACAGTGACACCAGCCATCACCTACCTCTTCAGGCCGGCTGATCTCGATGCCTTCTGGCCCCGTGATGCCCAGATCCAGTGCTTCTTTGGCTCCCTGGTGAATTTGGGGGGTCAGGGTGGGGGTTCTGCTGCCCCAGGGTGGGTGCCCATGGCACACCCTGTGTCCCCATGCTCACCTCAGCCACCAGCTCTCCGTTCTCGGCGTGGACGCGGGCGATGGCGCCGATGTCGCGGCAGGCGCGCAGGACCTGGTAGAGCTCGCTGTCCCGCAGCATGTACAGGTCCTTGTAGGTCATGAACATCTGGAAGGAGTTCACCCCCTTCTCCCGCACCAGGGTCTCCATCTCTGCCTTCACCTGCACCAGGATAGGGGGAGTCAGCATGGGACCTGCTCCCCACACCCCATGAGGGGCCTCTGCCACAGGGCAGGGACCGACACTCCCCGCTGGGCACATGGGATGTGGGATTTGTGGGTGATTCGGGGAGTGACAGATGCTGGGGAGGAGCAGGGGAGATTTTCTTGCTCCCCTGGGGGGCACCCGCTCTGTCCCTCCACCCCCTGCTCTGCCAGGGAGGGTCAGGGCTGGGGTCTCCCTGCGGCACAGCTGGGAGCCAGGTCTGATCCCACTCCAGCAGCTTTGGGGGGATTGCAGGGGCTAAGTGTGCTGTGGGATGGGGTCTGGGATCCAAGCCCCCACAGCCACCCCCATGGGGGTCATGCTGCAGGCTGGGGGACCCCAAGCTGAGACCACTGTCCCTGGGTGCCCCAGTCCCCCCCACGGAGCAGCAGCACCTTCCCCATCCCAGTGAGGGACTCAGCCCCACAGGGAACC